CTCTGTATCCTAATTCCCTTGCAAACAAACCATCCTGAAATTAATCTCTTTATTTGAGACAAGCAGCAGCTTGTGCAGGGATCTGTTCTTTTTGGTGAGCTCCAAAGTAAAGCTGCTCTGGTGTGGGGTGTCCCCAAAGTGAGACTTGCCTTCAGCTTGGACAGGTTGTAAGTTCAGGGAGAAAGGATTTAGCCAAAGTTAGAATCCGCTCTTTGTTGGGGAAGCTGTTGACAATGTCACTCTATGGGTTTTTCTTGCCATGTTGGCTCCCAAAGAAAAGCTTTTATCCATGGTAATCAGGGTTTATTAAAGGAAACCATGAAAAAAAGTCTTTAGATGAGATTAAAGGGATTGTGTAGCTGCACTTGGTGCTGAATCGCTCCGTGCTGGCTCCGGCGCTGGGCGTCTGCCTCGTCAGCATCTCTGCCCGGCCTCCTGCATCCCGGCAATGAATAGCCTGAGTGCAGGAAAAGCAAACACAGGAGCGTGCTGCCTGATTAGCTGGGCTTCATTAACCACCCTGGCACTGCCCAGGAGCCCTGGGTACTCCTGGCTTCCTCCCAGCCAGGTGGGGAACTCACTGTGTCCGTCCTCTGGGGCTCTGGGGTGCTGCCAGACCCACTGTCCATGAGGATGTGCTGAGTTTTCCCTCCCTCCCAGAGCTGTTTTTCAGCTCATTTTGCTTGTATTCAAGGCCTTAACACGTATTTTTGCTCTGAGCTGGACTCAGAGTGGGATTGCTTCTATGACTTTCTGTATCCAGGCTCTTCCTGCTGACTTTGTGCTGGCCCTGCTGCCACGTGTGGCTGTGGCAGGGGACCTGCTGATGAGGCTGTGTCTAACACCTCTGGTGGCAGGAGGGCTGTGTGTGTGTGTGTGAGGGAAATGCTGCTGTCTCACGTTCAGCCAGTGACGTGCTCCTTTCAGGAGCCATCTCTGGAGTGGGGTGGGTTTGTCCCAGACTCCGGTACAGGGACGTGACCATGGATTTTGTGAGGCTGTCAATCAAAACTCAGCTCTCCCAGCTCTCTCTTTCCCCTCTCCCTGTACGCTTCCTCCCGAGTCCTCCCCTCTCTCTCAACTGCCAGATCAGTCCTTTGTGTTCTCTTTATTCCTGATTTATTCCTACTTCCTCAGGCATAACTCATCCTTGACTTTGTCCCCTTGGATGCTGCTGCACTGTGAAGATGTATTCATCATTCACTAACTTTCCCATCTAATAATCAGAGTTTTGGAATTTTGGAATGTTTCTTCCTCTGAGACTCTTTGGCATCCAAACTTTTCTTGTCCAGGATCCCATGCATTTACCACAGGGTTTCATGTTCTAGAGTCTTGGGATTGTGTCCTGGAGATCCCTGAGCAGAACCAAACTGCAACCCTCAACTCTGTGGTCCCAAACCTTTGCTGGAAATGCTCAGTGACAGCAAAAAATATAACCAGACTGTGGAGTAGCCCCCTAAGGTGCTGTTCTCCAGGAGGAATCCAGTACTTTAACCAAACTCTGGGAATTCAAGGCATCTTCTGGGGAATGTGTTATGTGCAAGCCAAAAAGCTGCGATTCCACTGGCAAGACAGTGGTTTGACACCTCCTGTGGGTGCTGACCCTGAGACCTTCCTCTACCATGGATGGGATCCTGTCTGAGATGGCTGGATTTGCTCTGTGACCTTCCCAGGGACCTTGGATGTGCTGATGGGGAGGCTGCTGTGGCAGCAGCCACGTCGAGGGATGATCTGGCCTCGCACAGGAGCCCTGTGTGGTGGCTCACAGCATCACTGCTGGCCACATCCCCAGTGGAAAAGGCAGTTTGGGTTTATTTTGGAAACAGCCAGCTCAGAGCCTAAGTCCAGCCCTTGCTGGCTGTGGCCTTTTGTTTATTTGCTTTGTTTCTAGAATATAATTACTCTCTGCATGCCCATGGCACTGTATTATTGCCTTCCCAGCTGCTGTGATTCCTGCCATCCAGACATAGGCAAAAAAACCACCTTCCACAACCCCCTTCTCCTTGGTGCATCCTCTGAGGGGTTGTACAAACCCTGCTCTATTCTGCAGGCTAGACATCCAGGCCTCCTTGCCCCTGACCTCTGGTGATATTTATTAATTAAGCCAAATTATAAATTATAGCCCTCAGAGGTTCCAGGAGTGATTGGGGCTCCAGGACAGAGGGTACAGGGTGAGCAGCATGAGCAGATGGGAGAGGAGAGAGTGCCAGCAGCAAGCAGAGAGAAAATCCTGCTCCTAGGATCACTCAGATGGCTGCTGGAAGATGGCAAAATAGCCCCAGGCTCCTGCTCTCCCAGCTTTGTCCCAAAGGGCTGCGCCTGTGCTTTCAGACTGCTGATGCTCTTTCCTCTGCAGGTGAACTTCCTCCCCCATGAGGTTCAGTGTTTTGGAAAACACCCCTGCCTGCTGTAAAGCCTTCCTGGAGTTTCTCACTGGAGTCTCTCTGGTTTCCAGATCAAATTTTCTGTCTTTACCTGGAGGGATCACAGAATGGTTTTTGGGTTGGAAGGGATCTAGCAAGGTTCTCCTCACCATTCCCTTCCTCTCTGAGTGATAGCCTGACCTCAAATCAATTCTCACCTTCATGGGCCTCAAAGAATTTATGCCTGGAGTCTGTCTCTTCTCATTTTGTCTTGGCTGTTTGGTTTTTTAATCCCATTTTTGCAGGTGCAGTGTCCTGGTGCTGTGGTGAATTTTGGGCAGAGGGCTGCTCTTGGAGAGAGGGGGTGCTCAGCACCTCTTCAGTCTCGGGGTTGCAGCAGTTCTCTTTTCCCTGCCCTGCAGCTCTGCTGACTCTGCAGAGCAAAATTCAGTAAAATATGGGGGTAAAACAGATACCTTTTTAGTAATACTTGAAAAGAACAATTTCTTCCTAGATCTGCCTAGTTCCTGATCAAGCCAGTGCCTGTTAGAAATGTGGATCATAACTCATCATGGTGTTCAGGGTCACCACGTGATGTTTCTGAACACAGGACTCAAACAGGGACAGCTTCCCTCTGCTGCTGCTCTCTCAAGGATGGGCTCCTTTGAAAGAGGAATGGTTGTGTGGGGAGAGCTCATCCCATCACTGCTCCATCCATCATAATAAAGGTTATTAAAAGCCTACGTGACCAGCCTGCCTATCCCTGCAGAGCTCGAGAGGCAGTCCTGCAAACTCTGCACTATAAGCTAGGTTTTATTAAATATTTGCTTGACCAGAGAGGCAAAGCAGAACAGGGTAAACATGACTAAAGTAAATGTGGGCTGACCTTTGTCCGTCATCCATCCAGCGCCTGCGGCTGCTGCGGCAGGGAGGGCAGCGGGAGGTGAAGGTGATCCTACAACAGCTTGGAAATTCTGGCTGCTGTGCGACGATTTTGAAATATTTGGGGTGGCATAAAAATGGTGGCTGCTCTACAAGCCCAGACCTACTCTCTCCACTACCAGATCTAATCAGCCTACGGGTCAAAAGAATGTGGGATTTATTCTCCCTATTATTTTTTTAAGTAAATTTTTCCGAGAGCTGCACAGATCTGAAAAATCTGCACATCCAGACCTGTGTCACTGTCACATCTTCCTCCCTGCTGGGATCTGCAAACAGGGATTTTTTCCTTGCCTCCTACTTGTGCGAGCCTGGCTGTCATCACTGGTTACACCCCTGACTTCAGCAAAGTCACTCTGTGACAGAGGGGTTGGGATGGAGCTCTGTTTGGCTCGTGTCCTTTTTAAAATCAAGACCAGCTTTGTGAAGTTCTGCTCTGGGTGACAGAGGGATGAAGGGCCTGGCCACCAGGTTTGTGTGGTCAGCACTCATTGAGGGGCTTGGCTTGTGAAGTCTGAGCTGGTAGAACTCCATCCCCACATGCTCGGTGGGGCCATGAAGGGGTAAAGCTGTTCTTGATACAGAAGCAACCAAAAAAAGTGACGGAAAAGGGAGCAGATGGATGTGTTGAGTAGGAAGAGGTGTTTCCATGGGGCTTGGTGATGTGCCCACCAAATGTTTGAACCTCATACTGCTCCCATCACCATGGTTAAAACCTGGGAGATTTTAATGGACTGAGTGGTGCAAGGAAAGCCTCTCCCCTCTCTTTGGAAAGGTACCAGGCTGGTCCTTGGGTCATTGTTTTTTCCTACTTCAGGGTGCTTTAGGCTTTATCACTGCGGGTAGATAAGCAGCCCCTTTCTCCTCAGACACCTGAGATTCCCAGGAGAGCTGGATCTCTTTTAGATGATGTTCCCTTGGCTGTGAAGTGGGCGGAGAGTGTGAAGCGGGTGGAAAGTGGTCTGTGGTGAGAGCCCATGGGAGGGAGGACACCCAGTGCTCCCTTCACTCCCAGCCCACTGCAGATGTGGCAGTGACAGCTGGCACACCACAAGCCCTGGGCCTGCACTCCAGGCTGGGCTGGCTTGAGGCAGCTTTGAGCTGGCAGCCACAGAGCTCCTGCCCAAACAGGCCCGTTCTGAACCGGGGTCTCCATGAAAGGATGTTAATGTCACACCAGAGCTGGCTCCTTCCCGGCAAGCTTCAAGGGCTGTGGGAGAGCTCAGCATCCATCTGGCCCCATCCCTGTTGGCAGATTCCTGACCTTCTCTAGGCTTCAGTGCCTCGTCCAGAAGAGCAGGATAATAATCCTTCTCCAGTTCTGGCATCTCAGATAGCAAATACACACTTGGGTTGAGGCTGGCAGTGCAAACAGCAATGCTGGGTGATGTTTTTGCCATTACCCTTCTGCACTTCCAGTCAATATTTATGCTGCACTGTGGGGCACGTGTGTGTGTAATGGAGAGGGAAAGGGTGCTGATTTATTACTCTGCTGTGTGATTTCTGCTTTTTCTCCCAGCATCTTTTCTGTCAGGAGGGTTCCCTTTGTGCTGGTTTTAAGTAGAGAGCTCAGAGTGGAGAAAGGGAGGATTAGCAATTAAATACGCTCTGATGATGGCATGGTTGTGAAGGAGGGAGGAGGAAGGAATACTCCATAGTAATGTACTTTTGTTTCCTTTTTTCTTTGCTTGTAGGACAGAATCTGCCAAGGAATTGGTGTTTTGAAGAGTTTTACAGCGTCTAATCCTCGTTGCCTTGGGAATACAAACCTCTCTAATCATGTCGCCGGCCATGTGGAAATGGACTTGCCTGGTTTCTCACCTCCTGCTGTCCACCACAGTGTCACCTCTTGGCAGACAGCAGCCACCCCATCCAAAGAGGCCCTTCATCACCTTCACCGGGGAACAAGCAGAGGGAAACTTCAACCACTTGGTGGTGGATGAAAGAACTGGGCACATTTACTTGGGGGCTGTCAACAGGATCTACAAACTCTCCAGTGACCTGAAGGTCCTGGTGACCCACGAGACTGGTCCTGATGATGACAATCCCAAGTGCTATCCTCCCAGGATAGTCCAAACCTGCAACGAACCCTTGACACCCACCAACAACATAAACAAAATGCTCCTCATAGACTACAAGGAGAACCGGTTGATAGCCTGTGGGAGTCTGTACCAGGGCATCTGCAAGCTCCTGAGGCTGGATGACCTCTTCAAGCTTGGAGAGCCCTTCCACAAGAAGGAGCATTACCTCTCTGGGGTGAACGAGAGTGGCTCTGTTTTTGGAGTCATTGTTTCTTACAGCAACATGGATGACAAGCTGTTCATCGCCACGGCCGTGGATGGCAAACCGGAGTATTTCCCCACCATCTCCAGCAGAAAGCTCACCAAGAACTCCGAGGCTGATGGGATGTTTGCCTATGTCTTTCATGATGAGTTTGTGGCCTCTATGATCAAGATCCCCTCAGATACCTTTACCATCATCCCCGACTTCGACATCTACTACATCTACGGCTTCAGCAGCGGGAACTTTGTCTACTTCCTGACTCTGCAGCCTGAGATGATCTCCCCACCCGGCTCCACCACAAAGGAGCAGGTTTATACCTCCAAGCTGGTGCGGCTTTGTAAGGAGGACACGGCCTTTAACTCCTATGTGGAGGTGCCCATTGGCTGTGAGAAGAACGGGGTGGAATACCGATTGCTCCAGGCTGCCTACTTGTCCAAGGCTGGAGCCATCCTGGCCAGATCTCTGGGTGTTGGCCCTGAGGATGATATCCTCTTCACAGTCTTCTCCAAGGGGCAGAAAAGGAAGATGAAGTCCTTGGATGAGTCTGCTCTTTGCATCTTTGTCCTGAAAAACATCAACGACCGCATCAAGGACAGGCTTCAGTCCTGCTACAGGGGAGAGGGGACATTAGATCTGGCCTGGCTCAAGGTCAAGGACATTCCCTGTAGCAGCGCGGTAAGTGAGGCCCCTGAGCACCCCACCTTGCCCTCCTCATGTATTAACAGGTCTTGCCTTCAGAAAACCAACCTTCTCAACCCTCAAAGCAGAGACCAAGGAACTGAGACTGCCTTGTCCCAGTCCTGGCTCTGCCTCCAGCTCACCACACCACCCAGTTTCACCAGTTCACACCCCAGTTAGCTCATGGACAAGTTGATGGAGGCATTGGCAGACATGCTGTGTTTGCTGATGAGCTAAACCAAGGGCCTTGGGATATTTAGGAGGAATATGCCTGTTGTAGTTACTTTGTGGTGCAAATCACAGAGGTGAAATCACTGAGACCCAAGTGCAATTTCGGCTCAAACCTAAACCAAAACAGGACCTAAAGATGTCAGTGGCTTGTGCCAGTTTGTGTGCTGGTGTAATTTTGTTTCCCTGGGCTGGAGCTGGGGCAGGATTTATTCAGGGAACTTTATGAAGCCAGGGCTTCATTTCTTCCAGGGCTGAGAAGCACTGGTCATTAACCATCAAAGCCCCTCGCCTTCCAGTCTCCAGCCAGCTCTGCACTGAGAAATTAAAGCCTGGCTGCAGATCAAGTATTAAACATTGCAAGATTTAAGGGCAGGACTGGGGAAGAGGCTGGTCTGTCTGACCTACAAAAGGTCTGAAGAAATTGCCTCGGTTTATTCCGAGTGCCATTGCAGGAATGTGCACGGGGCTGGCTTTGATAGCAGGCACAGACATGGGCATTACAGCCAGCACCGCACCCGGGGCTGCAGGAGCCGCTTCCCCGGGCTTTGATTCCCATCCTTAATTAGCTCTTTCAAGTGAGAGGCGAGTTTGAGTCTGAGCAAAGGGAATAGGGAGAAACGCCAGAGTGCTTTCCTGCCCCTAATCTCCAGGCAGGCAGTGCTCAGGATATGGGATTGCTCCTTTGTGCTCAAGCCTTGTTTGCTGGGGGGATTCTTCTGATGCTCCTTGTCGGGACAAGGACGAACCATGAGGAATGTGGAGGGGAGTCTCATTGCAAGGACACTGATCCTGCCTTACCCTGTCCTAATTCCCCTTTACACCCCTCAGTGTCCTTGCTTGACCTTGCCTTGCTCTCATTCTCCCACACTGAAGGGACAAGTCCTTGATTTTAGTTGGGATCTCTTCTGCCTAGACCCACAAAGCTCCCCGTGGAGCTTTGCACAGGAGAAAGGCTGTGCCCAAATCTGGCTTTGATTTTTTTGTTTAGCCGCAAGGCCTGTGCACATTCAAAGAGCTGCCTTTAGATTTAAGCTGGGAGCTTCCCACTGGAGTTTCTTTCCTGGGCTCTTAAGCCTCTCCATGCATTTGCATATTTGCTCTGCTTGTGCTCCACACTAACATTTGCAGTGCTGGACCTCTCCAATTAGGAAGTTTGAAACCTCTCACTCCTGCCTTCTGTAGCTTTAGACAGGAGCAAAAAAGGCCAGCAGCTTTCTTGTATCCCATGGGGTGAGTCCCAAGCCAAGAAAACTGATGTCAGACTGAGTAAGGACGGGACTGCAGGGGCTGGAGAGAGGGCACGGTGGGGAAAAGTGTTAGAGCATATTTATGAGTGTATGTCTTCACTGTGAATCAGAGACACTGCAAAAGAACCTGGAGATGCTTGAATTCAAAGCAGGAAGTCTGAAGAGTGTAACTAAGTAGGCTGTCCTCTCCTTAAATGAGCCTACTTAGAGCTGCTGGCAGGCCCTGCCTGAGATCAGCTGTGCTGCCTGAGGGAAGAGGTATTAGTGACTTGGCTGCTGAAAGGGGTTGCAGAGTCCAGCCACTAAGCTTGGAAAATATTTGATGGTTGGTGAAGTATTTTGGAGGCTGGATGTGTGTCTGTGAGAGCCTGGTCTCCTCTGCTGAGGTCCTGCTTGCCAGCCAAGCCCCAGCACTGCTGCTCTGCCACTTAGCACATGTGTTAGAGGCAGCTCTAAAAACAATTACAAAGACATCAGTGAGCCTTTCCCTGGGTTTGTGTGGATGGCAAATGTTTCTCTGCTGGTGCAAACAGAGGTTTAACCTGCCTAAGGTCCAGGCTGGAACTGAACTTCAGCTGTGCTGCCCTGCCTTCAGCAGCTGAAATCCTATATGAGAACAGGTCCAGCTGATGTGCTGGGCACTGAGCATTTCAAAGTGACAGAGGAGAGACTTGGATTAGGTGTTAGGGAGAAATTCTTTACACAGAGGGTAGTGAGGCATTGGAACAGCTTGTCCAGAGAAGCTGTGGCTGCCCCAGGATCCCTGGAAGTGCCCAAGGCCAGGTTGGACATCAGAGCTTGGAGCAGCCTGGGATAGTGGAAGGTGTCGCCCACGGCAGGGGTTGTCACAGGATAATTTTTAAGATCCTTTTCAACCCATCATTCTGTGATTCTTTGTGGTATTAGCTTTAGGACTGAGGAGCTGGGTTCACTGCACTGTCCTTGCCTATCAGGTCTGGCTTTTAGTAACAAATATCCTTCTAATATTTCCAGTATTTCTAACAGGGCAATTACTGACTCAAAGGGGATCCACATGATGGGATGTGTCTACATGACAGGACACTTCTGCTCCTGCCTTGGTGCAATCCTTGCTCAAGGCCATTTCAGGGCAAGAGAAATCTGATGGAGATCATTCCCAGCACTCTCCTAACCTGCAAATGTGCACACAAATAATTCCAGGGATGCAGGGGAGCAGTGTTCTGGCCCCCTGCAGCAAAGTCTGTAGCTCCTCTGGTCGGACAGCTTGGTTACAGCTGGAGCTGAGAAACCTGAGGTCAGGAAAGAGCTTGGCTGGACAAACTTTGTCTCATGGTCAGTACTCAGCAGGAGGCATTGGGTCCCCTGCAGGGTTGGATGTCCTGGAGACTTGTCCCAGTCTGGTTTGCAAAGGTCAAGAAAAAGTCAAAACCAAAAAAGCTCAGTGTGACAAGCCTGTGACTGCCCCATGCCAAGTGCCTGCTGTAGATGTCAGCAGTGTGGTAGCAGAATTTCTAGAGTGGGAGAGGTGAAGGTCCAGAGATGAATGGAGAATCCTCAATGTTCATTCCTCTCCCATCCCTGTGTTACAGCTGTCCTCCCATTCATCTTCAGCATAAATCAGAAAAAAAAAAGATGGATTTTTATGTCTGGGCCGTTGATTTGCAAATTGGTGATGTTCACTCAGGTGATGAATGGTCTCAGGTAATACCTCTCTGCAAAAGCAGGATAATAGCTTATATTTAAGCAGCACACTTGACCCCAAATGCTTAGAAATTCACATAATCAGAGAAAAATGAGGCTGGGAAAAAAGGATTCTTATGAGGTCATCTGATTTACCCTGCTGCCCTACTTATAACGCTTCTGACAGATGTTTGTCTCACCTGTTCTTAACCTCTGGCTATGGAGATTCCTCTCTCTCCCTAAAATCTGTCTGTGCTGCGAGGAAGCTTTCCCTCATGTCAAATCTAAATCTCCTCTCTGGATTCTGAAGCCATTCCTGCTTATACAGTCAGAGGGCACCTTCAAACCCTTTGGCTCCTTGGACATGCAGGGTGTTGCCAAAGGCAGGGCTGTGCTGGAGGGGAAAAAATAGGCTTCTTAGAACAGAAAGCCAGCTTCACGTTGGGTGAAGAAGGCTGTGGTTTCAGTGTCCTTCATCAACTTTGTAACTGAGCAGCCTGATCTAGTTGAAGTTATCCCTGCTCATGGCAGGAGGTTGGACTAGATGAACTTTTAAGGCTCCTTCCAACCATTCTGTGGTTCTATGGCACTGCTGGAAAATGCTGGATTTCTTTGAAAAAGAAAAAAAAAAAAAAAAAAGGCAATTTGAGAGGAGGATGGAGATACAAATGTGTCATTTCTGTACAGGAAGTGATCATTGGGGGATTTGTTGCTTGTCATTACAATGAAATAAGATGAATGGGTGCATTTTGAAGCCTGGTGAGAGTTCTACTCCTGGGATGCTCAGCAGAGGAGGCAGGGGAGCCTTCCCCTCTACCCTGGGGACCAGGCAGGTGAGCTGCTGTGAGACAAAAAGCGTGGATGAAGAAGAGGAGGGTGCTGGAGACTGACCCCAAAGCATCCTGAGGGTGTCAGGGCTGTGGGGAGATGGAGAGGAGCAGGGATCCTGATGGAACTTTGGCTGGCAACGAAGTGCCAAACCTGGGGTGCTGCTGCATGTGACCCTGGCTGTCAGCTCAGGAGCTGCTCACATCCCAGGGCTGCTCTCCTGGGAGATCTTGGGTTCCTCCTCAGCCTGATCTGCCTCCCAGCCTAGGAGACTCCAGCCCCTGCCATGAAAAGGTGTCTCCTCCACCACTGCAGCTTCTACCAGATATGCAGCACCAATATCTATCCAAGATAATCAAAGTGTCAGTCCCCAGCTCCTGCCTGGCTTCTGCCTTTTGCTGGTATTTTCTTTTCCTTTTGGCAGGAAATGGGGTTTGACTGTTTAAATTGCTGTATTCAGTCTCTTCCTGTTTTTCATGGCAGCGCTGTCACTTGGGGGAGAACAGAAATGTTTTCAAAGCTGACCAGCCAACAAAAGTCCCTGTGTGAAGAGCTGGGCAATATTTTCCCAACACTTTGTTACCAGAAGTGGATGTTTGGGTCCCAAGCCATTGTCTGACAAGTGACTTGGCTGTAAAGGTTTCCTGTGCTTCTGGTTGCTAACTCCCCAAAACCTCTTTGCAGATGCTGCTGGTGAAATCTCTGAGTCCTGCACTATCTCCATGCGTTTGTTCCTCAAGTGGGCTCTGCTCTCCTGCTCTCTCCTGCTCTCTCCTGCTCTCTCCTGCTCTCTCCTGCTCTCTCCTGCTCTCCCCTCATCCCCTGCCCATCCCTGATGCCCACCAAGCAAGCACTGCTGTTGTCATGGGGTTTGGCTGGATTCAGGAGGAGTCTGTGGATTAGTCCTTCCATGCTGGGTGTGTTTGGAGGCCAGCTGGGTGCACAGACATTTTCCTTTGGCAGAGTAGGGGTGAACCCTGCCTGGTCCTTGGGGATGACCCTTGGGCTCCCTCCTGCTCAGTCCCACCAGGT